CATCACTAGCACTGGGAAATGGGATGGGCTCCAAAATTTTGAGTTTGGCATCAACTTTCAGTATAGTCAGCAGCTATTTTGTAATTAGTAGTTTGGTCCATGCACTCCCAAATTTTGTTATTTAATGTCCCTGCTGTACCAACGCAACAATATTTGATTTGTGGGTTACCCAATGCATACCAGTCTTACCATTGAAAGTAAGGGTAGTTAGTTCTAAATTATTCAGCATCTTCTCTATAAACAGCATTTCTTTGTTCTCTTTCATTATTAATATATATATATATATATATATATATATATATATATATATATATATATTCTTATAATTTTATTTAAAATGTTTATGGCTAAAGATTGGGAAATCCTGGGTCTAATTAAATGTTTCCTCACTGTCTATGTTCTCAGAACATATTTAATGTGCTAGTGAGCACTGTGAATTTCTAAGATGGGCATAACATTTATAGCATTTTATAACGTTATCTGACTACAAAACTTTTCCTGAAGAACTTCTAGGAGTGAGGATATGGAGACAGTTCTCCTTAGAATATACTTTGGGAAATACTGATTTAAATGCCTGCCCTTAGTCTCAAAGTAGATCAAGGACCTAGGCATTAGACCAGAGACCATGCATCTACTAGGGAAAAAAAATGTAGGCCCAACACTACATCATATCAGCTTATGAACCAACTTCCTCAACAAGACTCCTGAAGCCAAGTAAAATTAAAAATCAATAAACGGGAAGGTATCAAACTAAAAAGCTTCTTCAAAGCAAAAGAAACAATCAAGAATGAGAATAGAGAGCCTACAGAATAGGAGAAAAATCTTGGACAGCTGTACCTCAAATAGAGCATTAATCTCCAGGATATACAAAGAAAACTTTAAAAACTTAACACTAAAAAACTCCACAAATAACCCAATTAATAAATTGGCAAAGGAACTGAACAGGCAATTCACAGAAGAAGAAATATGAATGGTGAACAAATATATGAAAAAAAAATGTGGCAATTTCTCTAGCAATTAGAGAAATGAAAATTACAACTACACTGAGATTTCGTCTCATTCCAGTCAGAATGGCAATTATCAAGAATACAAATAACAATAAATGTTGGTGAGGATGTGGGGAAAAGGTACACTCATACATTGCTGATGGTACTACAAACTCGTGCAACCACTCTGAAAAGCAATATGGATATTCCTCAGAAAACTTGGAATAAAACCACCATTTGATCCAGTTATTCCACATCTCAGTATATACCCAAAGGACTTAAAATCAGCATACTACAGTGATACAGCCACCTCAATCTTTATAGCAGCTGAATGCACAATAGCTAAGCTATGGAAAAAACCTAGTTGCACATCAACAGATGAATGAATAAAGAAGTTGTGGTATATATACACAATGGAATATTATTTATATATAAATAAGAATAAAATTATGGCATTTACTGGTAAATAGATGGAACTGTAGCCTATCATGCTAAGAGAAATAAGCCATCCCCCCAAAAAACAAAGGCCAAATGTTCTCACTGATATGCAGATGCTAACACATAAAAAAGGGTGGGAGATGGAAGAATAGAAGTTCATTGGATTAGACAAAGGGGAATGAAGGAAAGGGAGAGAGGATAGGAGTAGGAAAAACAGTATAATGAATCAGACATAACTTTCCTATGTTCATATATGAATATATGACCATTGAAACTCCTCATCATGTACAACCACAAGAATGGAATCCTCATTACAGTAAGTTGTACTCCATGTGTATATAATACACTCTGCTGTCATGTATATCTAAAAAAAGAACAAATATATAAATATCTGCCCTCAGTGACCTCCAAATAAAATACCAGATGTCAGAGCCCAGGTAGGATATGCACTCCTTTGGAAACCTCCTATCACTTCTGATAGACCTAAGGGTAGTGTCTGGAACATTGGATGAGGAGAGCTTCTCAGAACATCTCCCTGAGCCATGTGAGTGTCTGTCAGTTCATTCAAATACCAAACATATATAGAGTATCTGTAGTATATCAGGAGCTGAATATAAATAAGAGAGAAGATAAGAGAAGGAAAGGAAAAGGAAGATTAGAACTGATTTTACTGTATCTAGTGGAGACATAAATTTTCAAAGATAAAATAACATTTGAACAAGCCCTTAAAAGATGGCCTTGTTGGGTCAGAGTGGGCAGAATGAGACATTTTAAGGAGAAAGAACTATATAGAGAGACATGCAGATGTCTGAAAGGACTCTTCTGCTCCAATGAGCATCAAGCCCTTATGTTTCTGTACATTCACACCATATCACATGGTGGTGTTTTGTAGTGTTCCTCAAAGAAGTGAGGACTTATGCTTAAAGGATTTGAGAGGGTTTGCCACTCTGCATGGCCTGCTGAAGATGAAAATTAGATTGGAGTCACCTCCTAGGAGATGAAGGTGCTATTCTTTATATTAAGAGTGATCTTATTTATTTTTTCAAAGAACCAACTTTTAGTTTTGTTAATTTTTTCAATAGTTTCTTTTGTTTCAATTTCATTGATTTCCGCTCTGATTTTAATTATTTCTTGCCTTCTGCTACATTTGCTGTTGTTTTGCTCTTCCTTTTCTAGGGCTTTGAAATGTCTTCTTTGATATAATGAGAGCAACTAAGAACAGAGCAGGGAGGAAGAGCAGGAAGAAAAGATTAACATTAAACAGATACATGAGGTGGGATGGAAAGGGAGAGAAAAGGGAAATTGCATGGTAATGGAGGGAGACCCTCATTGTTATACAAAATTACATATAAGAGGTTGTGAGGGGAATGGGAAAATAAACAAGGAGAGATATGAATTACAGTGGATGGGGTAGAGAGAGAAGATGGGAGGGGAGGGAGGGGGGATGGTAGAGGATAGGAAAGGTAGCAGAATACAACAGTTACTAATAGGGCATTATGTAAAAATGTGGATGTGTAACCGATGTGATTCTGCAATCTGTATTTGGGGTAAAATTGGGAGTTCATAACCAACTTGAATCTAATGTATGAAATATGATATGTGAAGAGCTTTATAATGTTTTGAACAACCAATAAAAAAAAATTAAAAAAAAAAAAAAAAAAAAAGAGTGATCACAGAATGCTCAGAGATGCTACATTTCCACAAAATGTTGGAAACTTTTAATAATAATGATAGAAGTAAAGTAGGTGGGGCAGAGATAACTTTAAAATATATGTAATTTGCCATAAATGTCATTTAATGATGAATTGTATATAAATGTATGTGTGTTTTGATTTACAGAGTGCTCTCACCCCTGTTATTTCATTTGATCCTTACAAGAATCCTATGAACATGAGTAGGGAAGGTATGATTGGTCCATTTGTACCAAAGGAGGATTGTGCAGTTCAGGACCCTTAAGTGGTTAGTCCAAGATCATATAGTAAGTGGCAATATAAAGACTAGAAACAAAATCTTCTGAATCCTAATCTTATGCCTTTGATTTGTATTTTTCTTATATTACATCAAAAGGCTGAAGGTATAGGAAAGTAGACTTATGCCTAAAATAAAGAAAATATTTCTAAATCTCACAACTGTTGAATAGTGGACTAGAATGTTCTATGAAATGGTTGAAGAGGATATCCCTATCTTAGGTAGGAGAGTAATATCATGTCTTCTATTGTCTACTCTAAGATCCAAAGATTCTAAAATTCCTAGATCCTATTTCCCACAGATGAGGTTTTGGTAATTAAGCCTGTTCCTAAGCAGCTCCTTTTTTAAATTATATACACAGTGCTCAAAAGAGAAATACTCTTATTAGACAGGCGCTTAAAAGTTGGCACTTATCCTGACATCATAGGTAAACCCACTGTGTTGGTACAACAAACACAAATAAGAGATACTTGCCTCTAGGTATTTCTCAGATCACATAACTCTAGGAAGTAAATGGAAGCTACTAATTTATCAATATTGTTAAGTATACATTATTTGAGTTATTTTTCCCTAAAATTTAAAATCTTGGAGCACACATTATAATCAGAATCAGGAGAAGGCATGATTGCATTTGAACACTCATCATTCATTTTGATGTATAGTGAATATGCTTTTTATAATCTATATAGTTGTTCAAATACAAAATGTATTTTAAGAGATAGAATTATGGACTGATAATAATTCACATTTGTCTTCTTTGATGGGGAACCAGGATTCTCTTAGAGCCAATAGAACCAGCCACTGTTCCAATTCTCTTGGAACATTTTTTGTCATATATTTACAGATCCCTATGCTCAAGAGAATGGTGCATCTGTCTGATGGAGACGTCTGGCTGCATTCTTTCCTAGATATTAATATAGGTGGCACTTCAGTAGTATAACCAATGACATGAAGAACCTGATTTGGAGGGGAACAGATGGCACCATCTTTCTTGAGCTAATTTTAGGATCCCGAAATAGTCCTTTTCTCACACAAACCATCAGTAGAACCAAATTAAGACAACCATGTCACATGTAAAAAGGGAGAGAAGAAAAAATGTGTATAAGGCAAAGACAATGAACTAGAGGCTTCAGTGCTTCCTCTATATCTGACTCCTTTTGATAACATATGAGAGTCACTTTAACCTCCTTTCATCAGACTGGATACAAAATACCAATATGAGGGTATTTAAGAAAAAAAAGTGATAAGATCTCATCTTTAGTCATATGTATTGAATAATCAAGGTTTATTGTGTACTGCTTACTTTATGTTTATAAGAATTTATAGGATCTAGTTTCTAAGAAAATTTTTTCCTTAGCAGATAAGAAAGCTGAGGCTAAATAACCATTATACTTGGCAAATCTGAGGCAAATTGAATTTCAAAGCCTCAGATTCCTGGCCCATTGCTTTTTCTGCTGGAAAGACCTTTTCATTCAAATGGTATTATATAATATCATATAAGGATGAGATGTGGAGAAAGAGTCCCTCAACCAGAAACAATAGCTTGTCTATAAGATAGTTATCCAAGTATTGTGAAAAATGAGAAGACTACTTTGAAAAGGTACTTACCTGTTTTCCATCCAGAGTATAGAGTTTTTTGACGACCCCAGTCTCTAGCTTTATGGCTTCGGTGATATCAGTGAGCACTTGCTCAAAAGAGTGGGCGGTCTTCTTGTTCAGAAGCACACGGACAGCCTTCCGAGGCTTCACCCCACTGCGGATGATGGTCACAAGCTTGGGGCGGACAAAGTCTTTGTTCTCTCTCGCCTGGGCACTGTTGCTACTAGCCAGGGACTGGGGAGCTTTCATGTTGGCAGATGTTTTCACATTGACAGACCAGTTGGGGTTGACGTTCTTGGTGTACTCAACCTTCTTAAAGAAGTTGTCTGATGAACAGACATAGCTTTCCCCTAAGGGAAGAAATAAGTAGTTAAGTGATAAGTTCAATAGCAGATATATGGACTCTAACCAAACTAATATACACTGACATTGGAGTAGGACTTTTGGAGAAAAGGTGACAGTAACCAACCTTAAGTAGAATTCCTAAATGGGCTAACTTGGCTCATTCAAATTCAAAAGTAATCAACAAAACATGTTTCAATATAATGGCATACCTTGTTGAAGAACCCTGTAAAGTTAAGTGTTATAAGGACAATGAACACTCCTAAATTTAATCTAACTAGTGGGGTTCTCAAGCTTAATATGGTTTTGTTGGAATTTAGACATTTATGTTAGTTTCTAGGATGTTTATTAACTTCTGGGGCATTACTGGAAGTTTTTTACCATGTCTTTATTTTCTAATTTTCCTATACTGGTTTTGAACTCCTAGCCCCATCCCTTCATTATATTATAAACCAAGGAGAAAGTTCAAACTTATTACATTTTTATTCCAAGTTAAAGTGAACCAATTAACCTTGAATATGAGGCATATAGTTCACTCTTGGTAAGAAGCCAGTCCATCATTTGTACAGAATATTTAAGTGGTGGAATATTGAAATGTGTGTGAGTATGTGTGTGTTTTGAATGTCTATATGTGTGTTTAAGTATGTCCTTTCCTTTATTGCTCACTCCCATATCTAGGTAGAGAAAGAATCTAAATAACAAACTGTACACATGTGTGCACACGTGCACACACACACACACACACACACACACCATTCTTTAAGTCTAGCTCTTGCATGAAAGTACTCTTCCCAGCTTCTACAACCCATGTTGCATCTTCTTATCCTCCTAGATACTGCATATTAGATCTCTGTATTTGGGGTCATCTTAACCAGTACTTCCCTTGATTACCATAGTAATGCAGGGCAGATGTGAGAATATATCATATAGTCTGATTTATGAATTAGAGAGATCTAGTGTAAATTTTACATTTACCTTGGGCTAGAGGAAATGACTAATGCAGAGGAAGAAATGGGCCAGAGGCAAGAAGAGGGGATTAAACACCTGAGACTAGACATTGAAGAAAGTAGGAAAAGAGGTAGGCTCAGCCTGGGGGAGAAAATATTGAGAAAGGTTGAATTTTCAGTAAAACACATTAGCCTCAAGGTATACAGAAGTTCATTCAGAGGCTGAGCTGCAGAAGCAGTCTGATCTAATCAGGCTTACATCATCAGTAATGACCCTAAATAAATAAATAAATAAACCCTAGCCAGTGCAAATAAAACATTAAACACAATTTTAGTCTGATGGCTCTTCTCTTTCCTTTGGTCTCAGCAGGATAACCACACAGAGACATTTAGACATGCCAGGCTGATAACTCACTGCCTTTGCAAATATTGATTGTTTTGCCATAACACAAAATCCTTTAAGTCATATTAATTAATAAATTTCTCAGTTGGTGCTAAGAGAAGATTCAGTCAGAATCTCTAGGGTAACTTCAAGGACACTTATGCTTGTGTGGAGGGGGAAGGTAAGTATTCTAAACTTCCCTCAATCTGAGAGGCTGCTTGTGTTCTGTCTTGATAGGAGACCAAGGGATGACTTGTAGGTAAAACAGAGACACCAATTTCCACTTAGTACACACATGAATACCCAGGATGGGAGAAACAAAGACACTGGCTAATAGAAACCTCATTTTTTCTGGCTTTCTTTCTAGCTAGTCCAATTCTATTCAAGTGATTAGAGTCTAGGGTCTTTATTTTGTGAATTAATAGGGAAAAGGGGCTCTTTCAATTACACCATATATTCATATCTAACATCCCACACCCACTAGAAATGGCCTCTTGCCTTAGCACTTCACCAGATTCATGGGTACCTTCCAAGAGGTCCTACTGCCTTTGAGTCAGATTTTTTCCACAACTTGTCATGTACTTTGAAACTTTGTCAGACAACTGTGTGGTGTGGAAATGTGCAAGTCTATATATTTATGATTTCCCTCATCCACAGTCTCTTCTGTAGAGTCAGCTGTGTAGCCCTATTAGGACTCTGGACATTTTTTCCCCCATCTCTTAAACCTCTTAAGCCTCTGAACTATGAGTATGATTAACTACCCCTAGATGAAAATGAACACGATGGCAAACAGCTAGAGTATCATATGGCACCTAAGAACTTTCCAGAGGGCCCAGCACTCAGCCAAATCTATGTTGAGCACCTTTCGAGGGTACATTTGAGTCACTCCACTCTCTCCTTTTGGCCTGAATACTGAGTAATGGAAAAAGAACAGCTGATATGATGTCAGTCAGAATTGGGTCCCTAACACTTCATAGTTATTGCCCTTGGGCCAGATACCTAGTCTTCCTTGACTCCAGTGACTTGTCTGCAATGTGGGGATGCTAATAATACCTTATAGAATTGTGGGTTTGAATCAAATAGTGGATAGAAAGTGCTGAGCCCAGAGACTAGAACACAATAAGCACTTCATAAATTTTTATTGTTACTATTAAGCCCCTCAAATGATGGAATAGAGGAGAGAACAAGGAGGAAAGTGTGAAAAAGGAAAAGAGAAAGAAAAAGTTAAGAGAAAGGAAAATGGAATGAGAAGTGAGAACTGAAGGAAAGAAAATAGAAAGCAGCAAGTCAGTACTCTTAGCCCTGAGCTGTGATCATTATATAGCTTGAGCACTGCTGGGATCCCACCCTCAAAAGCAAGATTTCCTGCCACTTGGGAGGGGGTTCCCAATTGCCACAAATGCCAAATGAAGATCTGTAGCTAAGACTGAGCAAAGCCACTGCTGATTCCCAATGAGGATATAGTATTTATAGGGGTTAAGAGTAGTGACTTGGGGATTAGACAGACTTGGATTCAAATCCAAACCAGGTACTTAGGAACTGTATGACCTCGGGCAAATCACTTGTCTCTCTCAGTCTCAGCTTTTTCATTCACAACTTGAAAGTATTTCACCAGGGATACCTGAATCCCTTCTAGGTCTAAGGATCTATAAGAAGGGATTTTCTTCTTCTCTTCCATCCCAAGCACATTTGAGAAAATAAAACTTTTTACAGTAATTAAATGTTAAAGAAGTAGGTGCTCCCACCAAGGACCCTTCACTTCTACTACTGGAAAGATATCAAATGTGCTGCTTTACTATACTAAGGCTTCCTTATTCTGATTTTGCAAGTATTTGCAATGTCTACTGCTAGAGCTTGGTGCCTCCTACTCATTTAGCTGCCTGGCAATGGAAGCTGGGTGAGGTGTGTTGCACCTTTACAAAGCTGGGTTCCCATCCTGCCATAGCTTCCAGAGGCTTCCCACCTGCTGGGAACCTGGAAGGAAAGAAAGCTGGTTTCAGAGCCAACCAAGGTGACAATTTGCAGGAGTTGACAGCTGGCTTTAGGATGAGGGACTGAGGAAATGAAGTCATGGAAGCACGGCTAAAGGGCAGAAATGGAACAAGCTGTGGGTTCAAAATGATCTAACGTCTACATCCCTTCACTTTTAGAAGGACCTCATTTTCAAAAGCATTAAATATGTTTATCTCTTCTCAAAGTGAAAGCACTTTTACATGGACTTTTTCCTCTCCTGGGATTCCTAACTCAAGAAATAAAATATTAAATGATACATTATTGTATTTTATATTAAAATATTACATTATGCTTTCTTATATTATCATGCCTATTAATAATGAATCACTCCTAGGTATCTTAAAATTCCTAGATTTTTTTTGTCAATGTGCTTGCTTTAGTAGAGAATAAATTAGTGAAAGGTGATTTCATCTCATTGGAACAAACAAGCTATGGCAAAGGAACTGGATCATAACATTGCCATACAGCTCAGATTTTCCAAGACTGTCCCAATTATAAATAGTCTGTCCCATCATCTGCATAATAATGCTCAAACTTGTCTAAATTTGCATTAATAAAAACTATTTAGTCATAAATATACCTATACAATTGATTTGGTACATATACAAGGGAGTTAGAAAAAAGATTAGACAGTATATAAAGCAAAGGAGAATGATTATATAAGGAAAGACAAGACAAAAAACAATACCATCAGTGGATTTCATTCATTGACCTACTGGGGATACATTTATCTAGGGCCACATCCTATGTGGCCTTGCTAAGATCCTTGGTATACCCAAGGATCTGTGGAAAAGCTGACATCAAAAACCCAACTTTTGTGCTACTTACTTCCCTTGATACTTTCAGCATCTGGCGGAGGACAGTGTACTAGAGACACTAGACAAAGGGGAACACAAGGTCACAGTGATTATTAAGCAGTTACTTTTTATTTCATTTCATTTTAGATTAACTATTTAATAGTGTGGACCCTTGAAAACATCTTTAAGATCTACAAAGCAAAAAACAACATCAACAAAAATTGATTTCTGCATTCATAGGAATTCCTAACATTGTTTATTGCTGAAGAGGATTATCAAGATCACCTAATCCAATACTTCCCAATTCTAAGTGCTCATAAGAATCACCCATCAAGATCTGTAAAAACAAATTCTGGGGTGCTATCCCTGGGGATTCTTATACAATAAGTCTGAGGTGTGGCCCAAGAATCTATATTTTTCTAAAGCTCTGAAAGATTTTGAAAAGTAGCCAGGTTTGGGGATCACTGGCCATTACGATCCCTCATTAGCATCATTATTCTCATTATTATTATTATTTTCATTATTATTAGTCTCTCATCATTAATGATAATGACACTTTATATAGTTGTACCTTGTCACTATTCTATCATACCATATCTAATTTTATCCTCACAATCACCCTAATGAAAAGGCAGGTGTTACAAGTCTCCCTTTGTAGTTATGAATATTACTCACAAGAGATATGCAAAATGTGATCTGGATACACAATGAAACATCATTCCACAATAAAAAGGAACAAAGTGCTGATACATTGTACAACATGGACAAAGCTTGAGAACATTATTCTAAGAGAAAGAAGCACAGAAGAACACATATTGTATGATTTAACTTACAAGAAATGTCCAAAATGGGTAAATCTATTGAGACAGAAATTAGATAAATGATTGCCTAGGTGTGCAGAGGCTGGAAGGATAGGCAGTGACAGCTAATTGGTACAGGGTTTCTTTTTCAAAAGATGAAAAGGGTCTAAAATTAGATTACAGTGATAATTGCATCACTTAGTTAATTTTCTAAAAATCACTGAATTGTAACTTAAAATGATGTTTTTTGATATGCAAATTATGCTTTGAAAGGTTTTTTAAGGAAAAAAACCCTTTTGAAAAAGAAAACATTCATCACATTGATGATAATGGCAAATCTATGCTCAGGTAGCTAACCAGTTACAAGCTAGAAAGACTCAAAAATAATGGATATGAAGTACTTACTGTTCCTTCTTGGCACAGAGACACTCTGTAAGCACTTCATATCCATTATTTTATTTAATTCTCAAAGCAGGTACTCCTATATTACAGATGGAAAACTGAAGCTCAGTGTTTCTAATGCTTTCCCCAAGTTCACACAGACTAGCATCTGAAGACCCCAAATCTGAACTAAATCTAATTCCAAACACTTCTATTCCCATTATAACCTGCTGCCTCTAAGACTAGAACCCAGTACTCCTGATTCTTCATGCAGGAATCTTTCCAAACTTTTTCAATTTGAAGCTAACAGAAAACAATGTGCATGATTTTTTAACTTTCATTTAACCTCTTCCAAAGATAAATAAAGTGAAAGGGGAAAGCATCCAATTTTCCTAGATGAATAGAACAAATTAGAAGAGGAAAAGAGCCATTTTCTTTATTCTCCTCTCCTAGCACCCTCGCCCATTTGTCTCTACAGCAGTAGGAAAATTGATCACATTTATCAACATTAACCCAGAGATACCCCTGAATTTACTTGACAGAATGGTCAGTACTCAGGACTGGAGGAACACTGACATCCATCGTGACTTATGTTTATAGATGACTTGTGAATAAATTCAACTGAGCCCTATTTATAGTCTACATTATCTGGGAATTAACCAGGAAGTAACACTGCACCCAAAGTGGCCCAGAGATGATAGATGAGAGGAATCCAATCTATCAAGGATTCAAGAGGACTCAGGTGAAGAGAAAGCTGCAGTCCTTTCAAAATTACATTTGATACATACCTATATTGAACTGAGATTATCACCTCTCTCAAAACATTGCACACGCGTGTGCACGCGCACATGCACGCGCACGCACACACACACACACACACACACACACATCCAGAAAGAAAAAAAAATGTGGAAAATGGATTTTGGGGGGAAATCTGTGCCTAACACCTTTCTGAGATCAGGTAAAACAATATTTCCAATCCTTGTTCCAAATACAGTATCACTTGGTTCAGAATTCTTCCTTAGCATCTATGATGGTCTTTAGAAGATCATAGCTAGTAGAAATGAAGCCAATTGAATGATTCAGGGTGCTTTGTTCATGAAAGTTATTACAGAGAAATCCCTCAAATTTGACTGAATTTTGAATTTTACAGTAACAAAGACACATCCTATTGATTACTCTGTTGGACAGCTCCTTCAACCTAGCTTCAAACTCTTTGAGTCTGTCCTGCTTCACCTTTCTTTTAAGAAATGTACTAGAACCTCCAACCCTTTGATGGTCAGGAAAGGCCTAAGATTAACCTCTGCCTGCCCATTCTGCATGTGATCAAATGATCTAAACCTCCTTGGAATTGCTTTTCAAGGTCAGCTATGTAAATGATCTCAGACTTGAATCCTGAGACTGAGATGTCACAACCATATGGACACTTTCTCTTTCTCTAAGTAACTGGCCCAAATCACTTTGCCTGACTACTTGGGAAATAGCAGCTACTCAAGAGAAATGGAATCTTGTACAAGGGAAGCTCTCATGCTCCTTTGTCTAGGAACACAAGAAACCTAGAAACAGTGAAGCAGAGGCAGGGTATTCCCACACCAAGTCATTAAGTGTGTGGTTTCTCCTGCTTTGTTGGCCATTTCATAATCTGGTCTCCCTAGAGATCGGTTTGCTCTAAACTCACCTTTTCTCAGGGAATGAAGGGAGGGAGGAGGGAGGACTGGATAATGGGGGAGGGGTTTGAGGAGGAATATTTTCATTATCACCATTCCTTGAAGCTGTCCTTTAAAGCACTGTATCAGCTCAAATTAATCATATATGTCATACCCACCAATTTGAAAGTAGGGGTAGGAAAATATCATCAATATAATTCATCCAATAATGTAATATTAACAACATAACCTGAGATCTATTTTCTAAATGATCACAAAGAAGACTTTATGGCTGAGTAAGTTTTGGTAAAGAGCTGGGGTTCCCCCTATTTTCAGGTGGATACACAGGTTGTCAGCATGTTCAGCAATCTAGTCAGAAAATTCAGTTGCAATACCCACATCTAGAGAGGATTTAAAAGGACTGAGGTACAGTGAGTCAGTTCCCATTCTAATAGGAATTTTTTGTATTAAAATACCAGACATACCTACAGCTTCCTTTGGTATTTCTCCCAATGATCTCAGCCTCAGGGACACACCCTGAAGTGGGCTTTTTAGAAGCAACAGCTGAGCAGTGACCACTTACCTAAAAGTATAATCTTCTGTATGTCCAGGAAGTCCTGTTTTTAGGGTGTATATTTCCAGTGAGTTGCAATTCACAAATAATTTTACAGTAGTTCAAAGGAAATTTGGACATAATAATTTCTCTATTAACCCAACCATGTGTCCTTCCTTGTTACTCCCCTGATGATATCATAGTCTGCCTTAATAATGCCCCTCAGAGTTAATTATGAACAAGATTCACTAAACGCCACAATTCAGATTTTCCTTTGTATAGACTGGCAGATAAGCACCATACATTATCACCACCATCTACATATTTCAACGCTAGCAGAAACTGAAGCTCATGAACAGTGATAGCTAATGGCTCTGTTGATGCCTATAGGATCAGAAGTCTGAGCATCAGTCAGCCCGATGTTTGGAGAAACACATTGCCTAATTTCTTTCAATGAAATCCAGGAATGTAATCACAACCAAGGATGCCCTTTCCCACTAAGGACGACCACCCACTACTTGAATTACCTTCTTCTAGTTCTTCCATACTTCCAATTTTCCTGGATCCATCAATGGTGTATATATAACGCACTCCCTGAGGCAGATTGATGTTGTCAGACAGAGATCTCGTGAGGTCCGCCAATAAAGCATCGAAGCTGCGAAAACGGTCAGAAGACACAGCATACACAATCCCTTTGAAGTAGCGGTCCCCATTGCGGTAGAAACGTACCTTCTTGGCTTTTTTCTCATTGCTCAATGCCTGCAAGGTTCTGGTTCTATAGAAGCTACAGTGGGCGCTGTGAGTTGGACTGGGCAACCCATTCATTCGTGAGCCTCTCATGTTCCTAGATGTTTTATCTCGTTCGTCAAAGTGTCCAAAATCAAGTTCCATATTTTGAAAAAACCTCAGAGACCTGAGTGTTGGAGAAAGGGGTGGGGATAAGGAGAGGCAGAGAAAAAGGGGTAAGGAGAAAAAAGAAAAGAATTCAAATATTAGCCAGATTCAGATATGCAATCTGCTGCTTGTGAAAAGAACTGGTTGAAGGGAGTCTGTGACCCATCTGCTGCTTGCCCCTGACCTGCAGGAATATTGATCTTAATAGAGAAGGAGGAGGGGCTGGGCGGGGGTGCTGGTGGGTGTGGGGGTTGGGACTAAGAGATAGAAAGGGAGGCACTTTTTGGCGCTATTCCAAACAGAGAAGAGGGAGGGATTTTGAAATAGCTTAAAATCCTGGAACTTACTAGCAGTGGCTCCTATCGAATTGTAACTTCGGGCTAAATACATTAAAACTGGCATCTGTTTCCTCACACATGCCCACATGACTAACAGTTGTAAATGAATCCATAGCCTGACAAAATTCCCCTTGAAGACAACAGAAGGAGCTAGCCAAGGTTAGCATCTCCAGCTTAAGAAGCAGTCTTTGCACCTCAGTACAATGACTATGAAGGGGGTGTTTTAATTTTATTCCAAATCCTTTTTCCTACTCTAATGTGTGCATCCCCTCCCCCAGAATAAACTAGAATTCTTTTTTAAAGGGACAGCCTCCAGGGAATAGCCAGTGTCTTTGTGCTATTCATCAAACCCTCTCCCCACCAAGCTGGTGCAGCTATCAACATTCATAAGAAGAAATATGCTGAAAAAAAGGATTAGAAAAAAAATCAGTTATTTAACAAGTTTTTAGCTCTGCTTTCCTCTTGGTAACCATTTGGTCACAAAATCCTTTTCCCTCACCCCAGGTGCTTCAACCTCTCCCCACCAATGCAGCAATATCTCTTAATGGAATAATTTAATTGTTGAAAGATTCTCAAACGAGTCCCTGAACAGCATATGGGACTTTAGAAGCAAGCACACCTCTCATTGTTCTGGGCTTCTACCCTGACTGAAGGGGCATTTTGCTTTCATAGTAGACAATTCACCCCAAACTTGTCTATTTGCCCAGGTGCATTTGCAAAGGTTAAAAATGGTTATCTGTCAGGCTTTGATTTTTCCTTTTCTGTTGAACCCTCCCCCCACAACAAAACCTCAAAATAAAATATTAAAAAAAAACAATGAAAACATGAAACCAAACACAACCAAAGCGCCAAACACTAGAAAAGGTTCTAGGAACCAAACTATTAACATGCATCTCACAGATGGGGATAAAAGGACTCACAAAGCAAGCAGGGCTCACCTGCTATACACTGCCACATCGAAATATTTGCAAGGGACCAGGATATAAATGGGGACTGGTGCCTAGTGGGCTTGTCAGGCTCAGTCCCCCTTTTTTTCCAATGTCACCGTGACCTACGCTGAGCTCAGCATTGTCTCTGTCAGACCACCTACAGTAATAAGACCCCACCTCCTCTAGACAAGTAGTAAGCATTTCCCCAGGTGAGCCAATAATGCTTTGCTTTGCTTTAGGATCAGAGATGATATTATCTTATATTAACATTATAGTGAAAACAAAGGAATATCAAACTCACTTTTCCAGAGGAAAAATCCCAGGTAGAAGCTTAGGGCAAAAAATCCAATAGAATAAGGCAAAAAAGGAGAAGCGAGAGAGAGAGAGAAACAGAGAAAGACGTAGAGAGAGAGCACTTTGCCTTGTGCTTTTCCCCCTTTGACATCTGTTACATTCTGCTGAAAATCACTCGAAAGCCCCACTCACCGGTTTTCTGCTGGTTGGGTGGAGATGCTGAGAGAAAGAAAACCAATCTCTCTATGCCTTTGTTGTCTGAGCTCCAAGCAAGAAATTCCTGCCAGGGTGGATAGATGCCTTCTAGGTCCTAGTGCCTTGTCCAGCTTCTCCCCTGTTATTCAGGCTTAGTGAATCCCACTCCCCCCACCAACCTCCTATGATTAATTACATGCTTTTTTTTTCAATTCACAGCCTGCATTAACAGCTAGAAAGGTTTCATTTATAACCAACAGGAAATTGCAGGGTAGCAAAAAGATTGCACAGGCAAGTTCAGAATGCTCTAATGAGCAATGTGCTAGCCCTTTCTTTTAGAAAATTGGCAATTTCACTTGGCCAAAACCTTGGCCTAATCTGCCTGGAGGCCAGACTTGACAGCCAAACCAGGCTTCATAGAAATTGTAGCTCTCTTCCTTTTACCCTCTTGAGAGACAACAATCGAATCTGCAAATTCTTTAAGGCATTTTAGTTCAGACATCCAACAACTGGTTGTTTTTAAACATGAACTCAGTGAAGTAGACTAAGAGGGAATAGGAAAATGACAAGAGAAAATATTTCTAGAATTGCATGGAAGGTAAACTTGGAAAAGGACACCCAAAACCTTTTCTGTTGGTATAAGAATTTGTTTAATAAAATTTGCTTTGTTTTCTTTTAAGAGTTTGAGAGTTCAAATCCAACGCATAGATCTTTCCATGGGAAGTGAATCTGTTATCTACAACATAAATATTAACAAGTCTCTCCTCAAACTGTCTATATGTCATTAACTCGCTTCTTTATATCATGCATGTTGTCAAGAACAAGGAAGCATCAAAACTGAACTCCTTTGATCAAGCCAAACTATAATACAGAAGAGAAAGATGAGAAACTAAATGGGGAGGGTGCTATCATATTCACAATTGAGACTACATACATTAATGTATAGAAGGCTAAAACTATCCTGGTTCCATTTTTGCTTGGCTTCCAGGAAATTCAGCTCTAAAAGCATGCTTCCAAGTGAGAATTTTAAAAAAATGATCATCTTTCTTCTCTGAAAGCTATTAGCTCACAAAAGCCTAAGCTATGTATGTAAGTCAGGTGGACAGCCTCAAGGGTGCAACATCATATCCAGTTAAAGTCCCCTTAACACCTTGCTGCTGGTCTCCTGGTTATTCTATCAGAATCTCAGGGGAGTCCATGAGTCTTTCTTTTTCTCTTTCATATGAAATTGCCTTACATTGTGGACACCTCTTAAAAAATCAGACTTATTCAGGTCAAGAGCAGAGAAATATCAAGGAATAAGAGCATGAAATATGAGAATCCCAGCAAAGTTAGAGTTTTAAAACTCCTTTCTTACACATTGTATTACTCAAGTAAGTATGCTGCAACTGATTTTGCATCAGAACTCAAGATGGCTTTATTTCCGGTAAGGATATAAGAATGGATGAGATGATAAAACTTAAACATGAATGATTTAGAATAGATTGTAGAGGCAATTTCCTCATGATAAAGGCTTTGCACCAACACTGGATGCCACTGATGTCTTTAGTAGACAGACTAGGATAAATGACTTTGCTTTATATATAACAGGGATAGACAAGACCAACATTTCTCAACATGACACTAATAGGTGTTTTTAAAAACAAAATCTGTGGTCAAAAATGTTGAAAAAGTGATGGGCTAAATATGAAGTTACTTTTCTTTATCATAAAACTTATCAGAGCCTTTAACACACTTAAAATATGGCACATTCTCCAGGATGAAAAATTAGTATAAAAGTCTTCCCCTCCCTCTTTTTTTAAGATCCAACCTTTATTTTCCCACCAAGCATGCCACAATCTAATGATTTTGGGGGGGACTTTTGCAACAACTGGTCTAGATTATCTCACAAAGATATGTCTTCTCAAAGAACTCTCAGCTGTCACTAATGCCCTTTTCTTTACTTCCTCAGAAGAAAAGGGCCACTGACAGAAGAAAAGGTCTCAAGTGCATTTAAATATGGAAATCAATTTAAGGACCAAGGAAGAGTCATTGTCAAAAGCTCAATGGAGTAAGCAGATTGAAGGAAAAGAATAGAAAACCATTGTGGGAAATGCAGCAGTAAGATCCTTTAAGTAATTACTATGTGCCCAATACTACAGGCAAGATACAGAGTAGGAGACATCCATCACTGCCCATTGAAAAGCTTGAGGACACATAGAGGAGACAGGACAGAACTATGTGCCTTGCAAAAATCATGAAGGAGAAGGGCCTTAGATCTCTCTTGACATGCTGCATTCTGGGTTAATCAAACTCAGACTAACAAATAAGATCAGGAAACAAACCTTATCTCTCTCTCTCTCTCTCTCTCTCTCTCTCTCTCTCTCTCTCACACACACACACACACACACACACACACAAACACACATACACACACTCACACACACACACAAAGTGGTAGTTTATTGTAACATATCAGAAGAACAGAGTATGATCTGTTATGTGGCAACTAAGCAAATAGCAATCGAGGTAAGAACAATATGTAAACTTTTTAGGTGGATCAAAAAACTACAAGGAACCTAAGAATAAATTTAAAAATATGTAAGATCTTTCTTGTCAAAATAAAATTACTGAAGAACATAAGAGAAGCTGTGAATTAATGCCAGATAATGAGAATGGATAGCAAGATACAATGTTGTATCAATTCTTTGCAAAGAAGTCTATAAATATGAAGAAATTCCAGTTAAAAACTCCAACAGGAATTTGTGAGACCTCAAAATTGATGTCAAAATTTTATGGAATTTTAATTTTGTATGGAAAAATACAGAACTCAAAGAACAATCAAGCCCATTATAAAAAAAGGAGAATTAGAAGTTGAGATTTACCCTACCAAGATTTATTATAAAACTATAGGAATGAAGGTAATGTGATGTAGGACTAAACGACACAGATCAATGGAATGAAACAGATATCAACATCAATGGCATCTTGCTATAGAATAATATAATGGTAAGAGCCTGGACTTGTAACCAGACTGCCTGGGTTCAATTATTAGATGGTGTCCTTGGGTCAGTTAATTAATCTCTGTGTGCCTCAGTTCACCCATCTGTTACACAGGAGTGATGAAAATAACAACCTATCTCAGTTGTGTTGAAGATTAAGTGAACAAATATACAAAAGACCCTAACACATATTAAGCATAATATAAAAACTAGCTTTAACAATCCTACAAATATTCACATTCCAACTCCCCAACTTATTTCAAGACTTCCCCCAAGGTCAACGCCTCAGCAAGATCAACCAAGATTGTCCTACTTAAAGTTACACTTCTCTCCCAACACAGCACTCCAAATTTCTGAATTTACTTTGGTGAATTTCTTTTGAATTTCACTTTGTTGAATTGTATAGAGTAAGGAAGGTATGGAGTATTCAGTAGATGGTATTAACACGACTTTCATGTGAAAAAATTTTAGTAACCCACCTCACATCATACATAAAAATAATTTCCAGATATGTTAAACACCTGAATATAAAGAACAGAACTTTAAGGCTGGGTGCAGTAACCCACACTTGTAATCCTAGTGACCAAAGAGAGTGAGGTAGGAGGATCCCAAGTTCAAAGCCTGCCTCAGCAATTTAGTGAGGCCCTAAGCAACTTAGTGAGACCCTGTCTCAAAATAAAAAATAAAAATGGCTGGGGATGTGGTTCGCTGGTTAAGCACCCCGGGGTTAAATCTCTGGTACTACAAACAAACAACAACAACAAAAACCTTTAAAAGTATTAGAATAAATTTTTTTTAATTATCTTTAAATTATTGTGTTAAAGATTTTCTTACACACAAAAAGCAAAACTCTTATAAGAAAATATTTGTAAATTTGTTTAAGTAAAAATTCAAAGCTTCTGAAGGAAAAAGAATCAAAATGTTAAAAAGTAATAGCCTTATGCAAAAGCATGATACACACTATGATCTCAATCACACAAAATGAGATATTGTGTATGTATACGCACAACCTAGAGAGACACATCTAACTAACTAAGTTGCTTGTGATTGGATAACTGTTCTTTGCTTGTTTGTTTATTTTTCCTGTAATGCACATATTAACTTTTAAAAAATAAAAACCATTTTAAAAGCCTGAAAAAAATAATAGACTTAAGGTATTTGTAACATATATAACTGATAAAGGATTAGTGTTTCTGTGTGTGTGTGTGTATATATGTATATATATATATATATATATATATATATATATATATATATATGTATATATACACACACATACACATATATGTAAAGTTATATACATACAACTAGATATATAAAGTTATATATATTAACATATATCTATATGTTAATATATATCTATATAAAGTTGTATAATATCATTAAAAGGTAAACTCCAATATAAAAAATAGGCAAAAGGAACGTCCAAATTATTCATAGAGAAAGAAACTCTAAATGGCAAACAAATATGTGAAAATAAACTCACCCTCACACATAACTAGAGAAATACAGGTTAAAACAGCAATTATATATTTCACAACCATTAAATTGATATAATTTTTAAAGCATGGAAAACAAGTTTAGGCAAGAACAAAGAACAACTAGAACTCATGAAAGGGTACATAAACCAGTACAGTTTTGGACAGCAGATTTTGCCAGTAACTAGCAAAGTTGAAAATGCACATCAGCCTCTGATACAGAATTCCACTTTTAAGTATCCATGAGCTAGGGATTGAATGCATGTGCCCCTCCAAATTTTATATTTTGGGATCTCATATGCAAAGTAAAGTTTTAAGAGCTGGGACATTTTGGCAAATGATTAAGTCATTAGCACTCCCTCCTGCTCCTTCTGAATGAAATTGTTACTCCTAAAAAAAATATTGAAGCAAGTCCCTTAGTTTCTTTTTGCTCTTTCACCTTCTACAATGGAAGGATGCAACAATAAGGTGCCATCTTGGAAGCT